AATGCAGCAACTCTCTCTCTCTCTCTCTCTCTCTCTCTCACACACACACACATGCACACACACACACACACACACATACACACACACACACACACACACACACACACACACACACATACAAAAAGTGCACATGTGGTGGTGGTGGTGGTGGTGTGTGTGTGTGTGTGTGTGTGTGGGTATGTAAGAATTTCAATACTGCCTATGAAAACTTGTCACAAAATTTAGTGCCCAGTTTTCTATGCTTCCCGCAGTTTGAACACTCGGTCAATGCTTTGGTCTGATATAAAAATGATTGTTCAACATACACATTATACACCTTCCCAGTTTGTATCAGTATAAATTCACCTTCAAGACGGTCTTTCACAATGCTGATCATTTCATCGTAGCGCGTTTTAAAACCCATCACCTTGACAACGTCACAGAGTTTCAGATATGTTTCCATCTCTCCGGCAGCAATCATATAGATCAGCTTTCGATTGTGCTGAGACGGTCCTTCATTCTTGTTTATTCTTTCTAGCGTCCTAATGGATTCGAAATCTAACAAGTCCTTCCGTTGCGCAATGTTGCGAAATCGATCCGGGTCCAAATCGTTCATCCACACCAGGACGCTATTGACGAACGTACCACTATGGAATGGATTGTCTGCGTAGAATGCCGCAATATCATGCACACGCAGACATCCATGTACCCACACACCCACACAAGCACACACACACACACACACACACACACACACACACACAAACAAACACATGCACACACGCACACACGCACGCGTGCGCACGCCCACACACACACACACACACTCGCACACACGTGTACGTACACACACACACACACACACACACACGCACACACATGCACACATAGTTGATCTCTCGTTGATATCAGCCATGCAAGAACTTGGTCAGGAGAGGTTAGATTGACCTGTACATGATATAAACACCTCAACGCCCTGCCAGTTGCAGCAAGACTATAAATACTGCATAGGCAGAAAATGTCGTCGGTCAATAATTTCGTCAACTCCAAAGAAAGGGAGTTCGTCCGGTTGTAAATTTCGTCCATGGATTATAATAAAAGTGTATTGAAAAGCTGGACAAATCAACATCAGTCCGGCATTTAATTTAGTCCAAAAGCTCCTTGGACGAAAAAGACGAAATTAAATTTCAGACGAATATTTTTGCTTCTACAGTAAATTACCGTAGAATCCCGCGGAAAAGCCCATGGGCTTATCTGTTTCACAAGGACATTTTGGTGGGCTTATACAAGAACATGGGCTTATACACGGGCATGGGCTTATACGCCGACATCTAAGTTGCGCTATCGAAAAGTATCAAGGTAGTGAGAAGTACATTGCTGAAAACCACTGTGCAAACAAAAACAACCGATGATTGTGCTGAAATGTACGAAAAAAACTATAATGTGCATGTAGTACGTACCTGTACATGTACATGTACATACATGGTATGGCCAAGAGTCCATAATTGATGGACTCTCGGTATGACCTAGGCTATAGGCCCATGAAGCTTTGTGATGTTCGAACTTTCCCTGGGCTTATGCGCGGGCAGGGGCTTTTACGCGGGTGGGCTTATCCGCGGGATTCTATGGTATAACATCCCAAGAGTGTGCAACTCTGCATATGGGATGTCCGATGGCGAAAATTCACATCAGTTTCTCAGGTACGTTTTGTACTACGTACAGATGAAGGATAGCATGCGCGCAATCCGAATATCTGCCATGATCATGCTCGGGATTCGCATACGCACAGTGAGTTTCTGTCAGAGAATGTTTTTCATTACTCCGCTGCTCGTGAAAAACGGGCTGGAAACGTATGACTGCGACACTGCACCGCGTGATGTGAGTTTTCGCCGTCGGCGAACCCAATAGAAAGGATATCAGCAGTTGCACACTCTTGGGGGCTTATATTATACTCTTGGTTTCAGCTGTGAGTGTCCTTCAAATAATCTACCACATCATGCAGGTGGCACAGGGAATGGTCAGCGAGACGTCATGTCGCCTGCATGCACTATGTCTCACCCCCTATTGCTTCAAAATTCTGACCAAAATTTGAGCCCATGAGCACTTGAAGAAAAATCATACCATGGGAAAGCATAATTCAGTCTCTGCCCTATTTTCTCAAAACCCAGTACAGGTGGAATCCCACCCAGGAAAATACTTCTAATTATCCGGACACTCTAATTATCCAAACATGAACCCACAAGACAATAAGTATGTCAAAACGCTCTCATGGTCACGCAAAGTTGCACTATGGACCTTAGACACAGATTTCATGGATACTGAACTGACCGGCACAGCCTGCTCAACTGAACTGACCACACGGTACAGTGTACAGTGAACTTCGAATTACACTTTGCCAACTTCGAATTATCAGCACAAATCCTATGCATTTTCTATGTAAGTGGAACCCGTAGGACTTCTAATGAACCGGACGTGTCCAGTTCGAGGTTCAAATTATCAGAAATTGTTATGTGGGAATCGTATTGATAGAAATCGGTCCTGGAAAACTTCTACTTCGAAGTAATAACTAAGCGCTATGTTCGAATTAAGCCATATTCGAATTATGAGGATTCCACCTGTACATGTGTTACAGTGTGTAAGGATGCTGAGAGAGTGTACAAGAGACAACCACTATGGCGTACAGACTTCACCGTAATCTGAAGAAGGGCAGAGGCTTCCCGGAGCTTCGTCTCTGAAATAAGGCATTCATTGTTGCAAGTGCCGAAAAAACGTCGTGATATAACGGAACTGGTTCGGATGTCCAGCGCTACGGTAACGGGTGTGTCCACCCGAATTCCTTATTTGTGGATAGTTTAGCGCACTGATAGAGCTTGGCTATCGTTACGGTGTTGCGACACACACTCACCATCCATATTTGGGATAAGAACAACAATGTCCCCAATCGCTGTCAACAGTATCACCGATCACTGCAGCGTGGGTAGTTCCTGCTGATGCTGATGTCCCACCTGACACACATCAGTGGCCACCAGGACTCTAGCAGAGCACAATCTTGCTATCCTGATGCACACAACAGCATCATCACACACACACACACACACACACACACACACACACACACACACACACACACACACACACCACACACCACACACACACACACCACACACACCACACACACCACACACACCACACACACACACACACACACACACACACACACACACACACACACACACACACACACACACACACACACACACACACACCACACACCACACACACACACACCACACACACCACACACACCACACACACACACACACACACACACACACACACACACACACACACACACACACACACACACACACACACACACACATTCAGTCCAGTGCTTACAGGTTTGGGGTTGCTCGATGCAATGCACAAGTACGCAGCCCAGTGTCTGCAGAGTGCAGGTCTGGGGTTGCACAGCGCCCTGATTCAGCAGCGCACAGCACAATTACAGCATGAATGAATTATTAATTTTGTGTTTCTCAATCTTAAAGTCAGTACTCCAAGTAAGGGTAACATGAATGCAACTAAGTTGAACTAACGTGTCCCCCACCCCCACCTCACCGCATAAATTGACTTGAGGCCAACAATGAAGCTCTGCTTACAGGGGCATAGCCAGGATAGTGATCAAGGGGGGTGCCACGACTTTCCCCACACAAAAGTACATGCACTTATGTTGGTCCTTTTAAGTTTCATGCACATTATTCTATCCGTGAAATAGGGCTTGAAAGTGATGACGTCAAAACGGCCAGGGAGTAGTAAGTTGACATCAGATTTCTATTTTTGGATCCACTAAGGTGTGACTGTGCTATTGCCTAAGTATGTGGGTGCATAGCAACCCACTCATGGCGCATGCAGGTGTGACTTTTATTTCGCCACCAGTTGTAACCCCGCCCCCAGTAGCCAAATCAGTCAGTTTCACTGGCTACATCACCATGCTGTGGGTAAGACCGCTTGAAATGTGCTTGGATCCATACAAAAACTGGATCCAAGTGGATCCAGTTTTTGAATTTTTGAAATTGTTGCTATGCTGTGACGTAGCACTTTCAAGCCCTATGGGGGGGGGGGGGGAGCAAAATTCACCCCTACAAAAAAATTTGACGCTGAAAATCAATCAGTGAATGGCAAATCTCCAACCAGGGAGTAGTAATTATTATGATATTTTACTACTCCCTGCTTCCAACTAATGATGGACAAAGTCCTGGATGCTGCTTTCTCCAGAATTATCACACTCTCCATCGAACTTTTAAAGTGGGATTTCTCGAGCCATGTTTGATAGTGCATCCTTGATCAAACCTACACTAAGTTATTCCCCACAAAAACTCAAACTGCGCTTCAACATTACTTTCACTCTTCTGCTGCTGTACCCACACTTGCAACACTTGAAAGAAACTGTGCCTTTCCGGGCCACAACCTCCATCAAGACCAATAAACAGCCAGAACTACATTATACAAAACATAGCGAGAGTAAACTGCTATATCTGACGTGTGCTTTCCGTCCATAGACCGCGTTGCTACTTCCTTGCTTCCACCAATGGCGTGTTTGTATGATTCCTTACTTCAAACAAAACATGTGGAGTGCGATGCAAATCATGCGCTGAGCCTGCTGAGGCCGGATGTGACACTGCACAACAGCAGGCACGAAGCGGAGTTCCCTTGACTAGAAATTTCATTGCAAAATGGCCAATCATGACATGAGACAAAAATTAATAGTCCACTGCATGTGGATTGGTTTCAGATACATTGTACTTGCAGGTCTAGACCAGGGAGTAGTACCTACTACTTCCTGGTCTGAACAGGGATGGCTACAGTGTGCGATGTGCAGAGTGGCACGCATGTGATCAGCGGTCTGCGTATACTATACTGTAATACTATGGTCTCTCTCTCTCTCGAACCAGCAGTGAAACAAGATCGAAATTTTTGAGGGGGGTTCTTTGGCACCCAAAGCACCCCCCCCCCCCTGCCTACGCCCCTGGTACAACTGTACTGTAGTAGTACTACTGTACTGTAGTAGTAGACAGAGTGACTCTACGCCATAGTAGATCTACTCTATCAGGCTAATATACACTGTAGCCTTTGTGTAGGCTACAGTACAGCCGAGGCTACACTACTCTACAGTCTACAGTCTACAGTGCATTATATTATTTTTTTATTTTTTTAATGACTGTAAAATTATTTACAGTCTACAGTGTAGTAGATCTACTACTGTACTATCGCATTTCCCCATAAGTTAGTACGTTCTAACTTTCGAACTTAGCAGCCACATGAGTAGATCTACTAACTTTCGGGGGTGGTACTATCTTTCGGGGACTACGGGGTAAGGCTGTGTTTACATGAGAAATTTAAACCCGGGTCGAGTTCAGCCCGGGTTGAAAGTCTGTACGATAGACAAAAGAGGTGAGCTTTTACATGAAGACAGTTGACCCGGGTCAAATACTGATATGCCGCCAAAAGTCCACTTCTACAGTCCTGTATGGTCACGTGAATCCGTTCGCGCGAAATTTGCATCTGCAGTGCCGTTCAAACCTGGCGCGAGATACGCACAGAAGTACGTTTGTACGATTTTCTAGACCCGGGTTGATTTCAACCCTCCCCTTGGGGGCAACCCTCCCCTTGGGGGGAGGATTGAAATCAACCCGGGGCGAAATTTCAACCCGGGTCAAGCGCAATACGCCATGTAAACGCGCCATTCATTTTGTGTACATGGCCATATGGCGGGTTGAAATCTGACCTGGGTCGAACTCAACCCGGATTGAAACGCTTCATGTAAACACAGCCTCAACCACACGCAGTGGGAAGCCTACACAACTCTAGTGTCCGTGCATATGATGTATGTACTGTACGGTGTCTGTACATGTAGGACGGGTACGAACTTACTATCTTTCGGGGGGAACTGTCTTTCGGGGTGATAACCTCGGCAGTGGAAAGTGTATTTTTTATAGGGGGTACTAAGTCATTGGGGAGAACTAACTTACGGGGAAATGCGGTAGTGCCGTAGTGCCAGTGCCCAGTGGGCCGTGTAGTAGATCTACATGTGCAGTGCTGGCAACTGAAATCCGACCCCCTGAGCTCACATCACCCACCGCTCATCGCCGCTCAGGGGGTCGGATTTCAGTTGCCTGCACTGTACCTCCGCATAGAATCTGTACTCAACGACTTACGTAGTCGTTGATGGAGACAGGCGCTATGCTGTGATCGCGAGACTTCACTCGTCTCAAGTCTTGACTTCCAAGACTCGAGAAGAACGGTGATTATTAAAAAAATTCCTTGATTATCATGGGGATTGTAGATCTATCTACATGTATAACCTTTTTACAAGTTCTTGCGCATTTCGGACGATCGCAAGGCTCTACCTTCTGGAAGCCGGATAATTGGACCGTGGTCAAGTCCTTGAACGCGGAACAGCTGTAGGACGACGACGATAACGCCTGTGGATCAGCGAGCACGGTTTTAGGTACGCTGCCGCGAATTGTTCCTCCACTTTGGCATCGTGTGTCGCCTTGTAGGTCTGCATTCGTCATTCTAGCTCGTCGTCCGACGGAGTGCACAGTGCGTGCACTAAAAATAAAACATCAGCCATTCGAGTTTCGGAACTACGAGTCTGGTCGGCAATTGGCAGGTGGTAAGTAGTCATGATGTGCGAATTGTAAAATTGTTGTATATTATAACCATTCAAAATTATTTAGCAGAGTGGACACCACTATCTAATATCGGTACGTAACGAGTTACGTTGCGAGCCAGACACCAGACACTTGTAAACGGGGTTGGGATCCATTATCTGGCCCAATCGGAAGCCCAGTGATTTACAGTTTCCTTCCTCACACGGGACAAACTTACTTCAACGAGTTTTCACGTGCAGTTGGAGTTGAAATGGCAGAATGGCTGAAATATCGTTAGTCCACTGTTTCTTTCTGCTGCCACAGATGGATGTGCATGTGCACGTATGTGTGTGTGGGTGGGGGGGGGGGGGGCGTGTTTGCATGTGTACGGGTGTGATTGAACTGAGCCGGGTGTTATATGGTTATCGCTCGTGCTCACCGGCCCACGGCTAGGGCCATTGTTGAAGACAGGCTGAACCTGAGAGTGTTGTTGCATGGTTCAGTGTGCAGCATCTGCATCTTGGTGTGTGTACACAGGGGCGTACCTGGTCACCCTTTTAGAGGGGTGCACGGCCGCATATGTGTAGGATGGCTGGTGTATGTCATTCATGGTCATTATGTGCATGCTGAAACTAGGTCGACATTTTTAGGGGGGGGGGTGCACCGTCATCATGACGTTATCATGTTCAAGCTCTACGCCTGGGCATAGTCTTACTGACATGCAGGAATATGACTCAGAAGTAGCGAGAAAATCAGCGGGAATATGAACCAGCTAATACTGCTAAAACTAGAGTCCATGACGGAGAGTGTTGGACTATGATCATGGGTCAATGCAGGGCACGCTGCCTTTGTAATTCAACTTTCTCACGTCCCGCCTAGCACTCGTGCACTGGAATTGACTGTCCCCGATGGCAGCACAACTTGTTTTCGCTTGGGCCATCCGATTACCAACACAATCAACATAAATTTCAGGGGAAATGCATCGATTTGTGAATTAGGGTTCAGCGTGAAAGACGATTTGACGTCGATTTGACGTCGGTTCGAATGACATATCTCTCGCTTGTATACAGTGAACCATGCTTACCAAATCGCCAATTGCATGATCCACGTTGCCATAGCGACCAGCGCAGTCATGACGCACATTCCACTTAGCTCCACGAGAGAGACGGTCAATCACATCAGGATTTTGTAATTTTCAATTGTCTTATTGTATTCACAATGGAAGCGGAATGTGCACCATCACTGCTTTGGTCGCTATGGCAACGTGCATCATACAAGAACTCTCCAACGAGATAGTGAGCCTATCTGTGGGATCCTACGGTAGAATACAGCATCTCTTATGCTAGAGTGCCCAATACAAGCGTGTACAGTCCTGCTCACTGAAATCCAGTCGTGAACTCTCAAGTTTGCGCCTTGCACCATTTCACAGCCCCTAGTGTTCACACGTCTAGGTCCATGGAACGCCCGGCGTGTACTTGAGTGACGCGACTGGATTTCATTGAGCAACCCTGTACAGTCAATTTTGCGTATAACGATACTCGGCCGGGCATCAAAAAAGTGTACTTATTCGCGAAGTGTCGTTATACCCGAAGTCTCATTATACAGTCAACTTGGCTAATAACGACTGCGGATATAACGACTGCGGATATAACGACTGCGGATATAACGACTGCGGATATAACGACTGCGGATATAACGACTGCGGATATAACGACTGCGGATATAACGACTGCAGATATAACGACTGCGGATATAACGACTGCGGATATAACGACAATTCGCGAATAACGACAGACTCTCCATGTCCAGAGCGAAGTCCCATCCAACTGTAATACATATAATGAGACTTCGGGTATAACGACACTTCGCAAATAAGGACACTTTTTTGATGCCCCGCCGAATGTCGTTATAAGCGAAGTTGACTGTATGTATACAGGTAGAATGGACTTTGCTCTGGGCATGAAAAGTCTGTCGCTATTCGCGAATTGTCGTTATATCCGTAGTCGTTGTTAGCGAAGTTGACTGAACATGCATGTAGAGTCTGAGAGTTCAGGAGAGTAGTGCATTCTGTGCTTGTACCACGTTTAGGCGAGACCAAAAAAATACTTCCTCCGCGTCATCGAAATTGTCGCAGTTTGACCAGTGACTTGTCACTTGTTACTGACAACTCCATAAGCTAAACCATTCAAAACTTATTACACAGGATGATAGTCTGAAGACTAGAGTAACGTTCCAGGACAGTTGGACTGAAAGTTTTCATGCAGAGATGAAGTCCTCGTCGTCGCTGATGTCAATGGACGCAAAAATATCGTTCCGAAATATTTCAAGGAAGGTTGAAAGTCGGTCGCACCTCATCTCAAACGCTTTGACTTTCTCCACAGGACAAGAGCTGCTATGCTTGTCGTCTGCTAGCTCTGGATGATTTCTACTTCACCACCAACGAAGCCTAGTAAGAATACACGATCGTTGCGAGGTCGGTTGATTACCGTCGGCGGTATCACCTCGATCTTGAAATGAACTTTTTTTAGCCGTGGCATGACCATTTATTTTAGCTGTGTGGTCACAGCTCATGCAGGTAAGTGTTCTATCATGTCCAGCGCGCCCTCTTTTTCAGCATCACTGGTACGGCACCTGCGCGTGCATCACTAGCACTACGTGTAGAGTCTACACGGCTCTTGCAGGTACAATCATGTATTGAGTGTCTCAGCCAGAGCGACAAATTTTATCGCTGTTGCATGCATTTAGTTTGCTGACCCCTCGATGTTTCACCAAGCGCTGCCACCCGTTCCACGAAGTCATTCTCACCCCAGCTAAGGTAAAACAGTGATGAGGCTTGAGTGAATGGCCATAAGCACGAGAAATGTGCAGGCTGCAACACCTGACTGATCTCAGCGAGTCGAAATTACCATCGCAGCAACATCAGCGAAGAAATTGCGTCTAGTTCAAAAATTTCAGCTTCCAATAACAGAAAATAGAACTTTGCCGTCACCCATTACTGATGACTATCGCCTATGTCCGATTCCTTGCCTCTGGTACGAGTGCTGGTGAGTAAATACCCCGTTTTATATCAAAAGTCAAGCTGCGACGGTTTCGATGACGCGGAGGAAGTAGAGGCTCCCGCACCAAAATCGACCCAAAGCCAATTTTTTTGGAACAGTTCATACATGTACAGTACTGATCGTGTGAGTAGATCTGTGACGTGGAGTCACACAAACCCGAGCTTGTACGACTCCCTGATGTACAGATCAGGGCCATCGTTGGCCGAAATATAGAAAAATAATTGAACGGGTAAGCCACGTACCTGTTGTCTGTAAAAGAATTGAATAAAAATTATCCGAAAATGCTGTAAAAAAAGTTCAACATGTCATGCACACATGTACTCATGTACATGTACATATTGAATCATTCATGGGAAAAAAATACAAAATTAAATTCGCCCGCCCGCACCAATTTCACATGGGTCCTGCCTGGGAATCTCCATTTTATTTTGGTCTCGCCTTACATACGCATTTTGGGCTAGCACCCAGACAACTTAGCGTGTCCAGATCTAACATGCCTCTTAGGGACCAATGGAAATATTTACTGGGCTTTGTACTGAGACATTAGACATGGTTAGCATTTTAGTATTTTACCGTTCACGCTATTTTCGATGGTCGGCCTGTAGAGGGCAAGTCTACTGTTTTTTTTTTGTGTTTTTTCGAGACACGGTTAGGGACCATCGCAAAAGTTCGCAGAAGCCCCCGAAACGAAGACCGTTAGTTTCGGGCCTGACCCCCCTCCCTCCCCCCTCAAACGAAACGACAGTCACAATATGGGCTTCATTATTTCACTTGGATGCTCACACATAATAATTATTATATTATACTACACAGCAGGGGTTCATAAACCCTATATGAACCCCTGCTAGTACTAGTACTAGCAAGAGTCCATAAACCACGCGTTTTATGGACTCTTGGTACTAGACTACACACAGTGTACAGGCAGCCAGCTACGCGACACGCGCAGTTGCATGAATGGACTACGCGTCCTGACAAGCGATTTACGCCGGCTGTGATGGCATGCTAATCTATATCAGCTCCTACATGTCGTCAATACTTTTTTGAATTGAAGCCCGGTTTGCGATTTTCGACACCGACTCCCTCCCCCCCCCCCCCCCCCCCCCCCCAAACGTATGCTCTTCGTTCCAGGGGCTTCTGCGAACTTTTGCGATGGTCCCTAATAGCAGTTCGGCTTCTGAGTCCTCACTCCTGATACAACGATCGCCTTGTGACGTAATCAGTCGGGGAGATGTCCTATCTAGGACATCGCACTCTGAATGAGTCTGATTGGTTACCTGTCCCAGAGTTGTCATGGAAGCGTCGGTCGCGCACACGCGATGAAAAGAAGTGCTGTGTGAGCATTTCTGAATGTATGTGGAGGATGCACGATTGTAATGGCGATGGATTTCTTTCCGAATTGGTCAAGTTTGAGGGAATAGGCGGAGAATATCAGACATCGGCGGGGATTGAGGTAGTGTATATTCGATTCGCCATCGAATACCCGACCGAATGGCCGTTTCCGTTTGGGGATTTCATGTGGGGTTTCTCGTAGCCACGCGGCACTTCTTTGGAAACGATTGGTTCGATGTTTGGCCTTTGGCATGTTTCTTCCAGGGAGGAGTACTACTCCCTGGTTTCTTCACGCCCCGTGCGTTCATTTCGCCCCAAACCTGGCCATGCAGAGGAGGAAGACGAGGCAGCAGGCGCTAGGCCCGTAAAATACTGCCTGGAAGATATTATTTGGCCGAAGCTTGCTGTTGGCGTTTTTGATTTCTTGGATACGACAGCTCTTGGCTAAAACTGGACCTTGGACGGTCTTTCTTGGATATCAACCCAGGACGTGGTGGTCATGGACGTATCGCCATCGCTTTCAGCCAGATCCTTCTGCTGCCTGAAACCAATGGCGAAAGTAAAAACTTTATCGCAGCAGCAGCTACTGCTCTGGTGAAAGTGCGAACACAAATTGCTTCGCCAATCCTCTTGTGCACTTGCAATTATTATTTTCAATGCGACCAAAACGATTCGCTTGCCAGTTCCTTTGTCCAGGCGTACTCCACAACGAGGAGAATAAATTCGTGAAGGCAAGAGGCAAGATACGAATCTCGACTCGCTTGAGGCAAGCCGCCAGGAGAACGACAACTCTTTACTTTTGAGACGAAAGGCCTTCGTTGCGTTTGTTTTGAGTGCGACATGTTCATCTTCCTCGGACGCGACACAAAGTTTTGAGTCACGTGTCACGATTACTATGGGAACAGCATAGCATGTATGCTGGGGCATGCTGGGTTCCGTGATGTCCTATCTAGGACATCTCCAGGACTGGTAATCCTAGTTGGAATCTTACCGTTTCGTTCTCCCGCTAAACAGAGCTTTCAATCGTCGAAATGGTACCAAACCGACGGTATTTTGGGTGTTGGGTACGAGCACCGTTGGATCTAGCGCGTGAACGGTAAAATGCCATGTCTACACACACAAAAACGGTATAGGCCGACCGTCGAAAATAGCGTGAACGGTAAAATGCTAACCATGTCTCTTAGAAGTAAAACGGTAGAAACAGTTGTGTCGCCACAACGCGTCTGAATCAATACGCATTACGTCCACAGCGATCATCCCGTTGGGGGATAACAGTACATGATGCCATGAATGAAACTCACCTAGTCCTTCGAGATCCGATGGGACGGCTGCTCAGGTACAAGTATTCGGACAAATTTCCTGTTGCGGGATGCGACTGCCAGCACCCGCGGTTTCCTGCGCCCAAACGCCCTAGCACGAGGCGTCCGCACGCATAGATTCTCTTCACCGAGCTGTTTGCAGTGCACGACATCAAAATACAATCACAACGAAGGGGAGAAAACATCGACCTACACTCCAACGCAAGCGGCGACTAACTTCGGAAATGCACCATTCACACGATTCATTCCCTTGGGTAGACCAACACATTCTCAAACACAGGTGATTCTGAACCCATGGCAGGGTCAAAATATTGATGGTCAAAATGACAATTCATTCAATCACTATTCTTGTGGCGAAGCCAACCGGAACGTACATTTGAAAACAACCATTGCGTCGCCAAATATAATTAATGAAGCCATTAGGAGTGTGCTAGCTTCACATCAACCCACAGCCGAAGGGTGAGAAACGGGGAAGGAAGAACGCATCCGATCGTGCTTACCGCTGTTTCAAACCAAGCTGGGCTAGACTGCGAGATTCCAACGGCGTACTTGAGTCACCGAACGAGGTTAGAAAAAAACTTGTCTGCTGAAAGACGGTGCACGAAACTTCAAAGTCGAAAGGATTTTCGGAAGGTGGTCAACTCTTCTCTCTACCTTTTTCAGCTGCCTCCTCGACCGCTGCACTTGATCTGAGTACCAAATTACATGAGGACACCGCAGTAGCATGACATTGTACTACTACTACAGACTGTCAGTAGGCTGTAGCATGCAGTGTACATTGTAGGTGAGCTAGCTGCTTGGTGGCGCTTCGTCCGCTGGTGGGAGGTGGCGGGGGGGGGGGGGGGGGGGGGTTGTGTGTAGGGCTCAAACGATTAGTCCGATTAAAGGGGAATTTAAGGCAAAAATTAAAATTTCACCAGTTGTAGTCTTCGGGGTGCTGAGTCGAATGGTCGTGGTCCGAGGAAGCTGAGACGCTCCCTTCCTACTTGAATCCCAATCGAACTCGCGCACTTCCACCGAAACTGGGTGACTGCGCCCTACGAGATGGGGATTTGTATGCAAAATGTCACTAAAAGCGCCATTTCGTTCTTATAAAAGCACGGATGACCGCGATTGGCCCATATGTTGTAGTCTTTTGGACGCTGAGTCGACTGGTTTTGGTCCGAAAAGGCTGCGATGCAGCGTTCCTCCTTTATTCCCAATCGAACATGGTTGAAGAAGCGGTCACGTGCTCCTGCGTACGCCAGTCACCTGGTCACCGTGCCTGCAGGGTACAACTTACTAGCCTGTTTGACCTTTTTTGGGTGCAGTCCTGTCACTCGAGTTGAACTCGAGTTGAACCTTGGTGTGAAAGTTGTCACCTGCTGGCGTGGTGACCAGGTGATTTGGGCACCCAGGAGCACGTGACCACTTGTTCAACCATGTTCGATTGGGAATAAAGGAGGAACGCTGCATCGCAGCCTTTTCGGACCAACCCCAGTCGACTCAGCGTCCAAAAGACTACAACATATGGGCCAATCGCGGTCATCCGTGCTTTTATAAGAACGAAATGGCGCTTTTAGTGACATTTTGCATACAAATCCCCATCTCGTAGGGCGCAGTCACCCAGTTTCGGTGGAAGTGCGCGAGTTCGATTGGGATTCAAGTAGGAAGGGAGCGTCTCAGCTTCCTCGGACCACGACCATTCGACTCAGCACCCCGAAGACTACAACTGGTGAAATTTTAATTTTTGCCTTAACTTCCCCTTTAACCGGTTGCAGACCGGTTACGAAGAATTAACGGTTAACCGATAAAGATAACGGTTACGCAGTAACTTTTCAGTCAATTTTTCAAGTATCAGGTCGTTGCAAAGTGTGCACTTTCGCGGGCTGTCGCACGCGTACGCAATTTCTGGGCTGTCAACTCGGTCATATCTGGTCTCTTGGTGTGAGAGTATGTATGAATGAGCATGCAAGAGAATGTACAAGTGTGCGTTGTACTGAATAGGGTACATTTTTTGAATGAGTATAGTCAAATATACGGTTAAAAAAGAGTCCGCAGGATTGCCGTGGCTTATAGGTTATAACCGGTTAACCGACCGTTAGCTTAGCAGTTAACCGTCAGGGGTAAAACCGTGACCGTTTGAGCCCTAGTTGTGTGGAGCTTTGCAAACAGAGAGAAGACCTGCGCTAGTCGCTATAGCCAGTATAGGTCCCGGATCGGAGCAGTTATGACTGTGTGAATGGCATGACCAGATGACGACTTTCCGTGATCGTGGAGATACTTGTAGTACGAGTGTAGATGAGGTCTACGGCCAGGACAGTTCGACAGGGATCTAGGGAGCTACCACTAGTAGTAGTACCAGTCCAGGGATCGATTTAGCGCGGTGGCGCGGCGTCTCAAACCAACTGTCTGGTCTGCAAAATTCTAGAGCTAGACCACGCGATCAGTCACTCGTCCCAAACAACCAAGTGACAGTCCCGAAAAGGCGCGAGGATCCCTACCTCCTCTCGCACCTGCCTGCACTCACGTCTGGCATCGCACACCGGTAGCTACTGTATGCGATAACGGTAGCATGACAGCGCTTTTATATTTTTATTTTCTCTCCAATACTGCAATAGACATTCGAACTGCTACTTTCCAAGCAGTGTTGATTCTCACAATGTGAGGTCAGGTGAACGATTCGCCACTGGACCTACCTCCTTGGTCTCGTGGCAGCTAATGCGACAGTCACGGAGGTTGCGTACATGTATGTGTCATCGCTTGCCTGACGGCGAACACACGCCTACTATAGTGCTAGCAGGGCAATATTTGGCTCACCCCTCATAGACTCTGAGGCATGCTCTCAGTGTCTCACCTCTAGGCTCTCACCGCTGCTCCCTCTTTCTTTGGACAAGTGCATCGATTTTTCAAGTAGGGTTCAGATAAAAGACAATTTGATATCGGTTCGAATGACATAGCTCTCGCTTGCATACGATAAGCCAAACTTGCCAAATCGCCAAATGTATGCTCACGTTGCCATAGCGATCTGCGCAGTGATGACGCAGCCCAGCTCCCTTCTACGGTTCTACCCCTCTTTGATTATCCCCTTCGCTCAGCCTAAACCTAGCTGGTCTCTCCCAGTCATCGTACCTTATGCGATTATCAGTTCTCGCCATCTTCCTATTTCCACAGTGCATTGCTTTACTATAGTTTGTCCTATTTCAATCTCAAATTATCCCCATTATCGTTTGCAAAGCCCGTGCTTCCCTCTTGGATGCACATGTTTCTTTTCTCCTACGTATCGGCGCGCATGAATCCGAGACCTTTGGTCGGAGGAGTTACTTTTGCCCCGCCCCCACTTCCATCCAATATGCCACCACCCCCGCTGTGTAGCTTCGGATGGTTCTGTGGTATTCAGTTAAAAAAACATTAGGCACATTCTACTTAGCTCAGTGTCAGAGAGGGGGGGGGGGGGGTCGATCAGTGTAGAATTTGGTCATTTTCAATTTGTCTCATTGTATTCACGAAGTGAAAGAAGGGCTGTGTTCAATGCTGTTAGTGCCGTGAACTGTTTATTAGTAGTCCTCTCGGTGGTGTACTGGGACGCGAGTCACGCGACACCGACAGGAGAAAGCTGGAGTGCGAAGACATGAGCAGACTGGCGAATAGTGAGGAACAAAGTGCTGAAATCTTGGTTGGGACGAATCAGACGTTCAGCATTTACCCCAACCAAGGACTATGCCGTTTGCTCTTCCCACTTCCTGAAGCTGGATGTGATGCTTCTTCCTGGCGACTCTCCTATCTCTTGTAACATCTTCTGAAGCCAGGTGAGACGACGGTTGGTGGAGATTGAAGAACGAAATAATTTCGTACCTTTCGAAAGTTTGCTGAAAGATTCTCCGGAGAGGTGGCGAATACCAAGCATCTTCTCCTAGAGGAACCATGTCGTAGGCTACAGTCAGCCTAGGGGAATGCAGGAGAAGGCCAATAAACAGTTCACGGCACTAACAGCATTGAACACAGCCCTTCTTTCACATCGTGAATACAATGAGACAGTCGAAAATGACCAAATTCTGCAGTGATCGACCTTCTCTCACGGAGCTAAACAGAATGTGCGTCATCACTGCCCTGGTCGCTATGACAACGTGAGCATACAAGTACATGTACAATACTTATTGGCGATTTGGCAAGTTTGGCTTATCGTATGCAAGCTAGAGATATGCTAGATACTTCTTTCGTTCTTTCGCTCCTTCGCTCTCTCTCTCTCGCTCTCGCTCTCTCTCTCTCTCTCTCTCTCTCTCTCGCTCTCTCTCTCTCTCTCTCTCTCTCTCTCTCTCTCTCTCTCTCTCTCTCTCTCTCTCTCTCTCTCTCTCTCTCTCTCTCTCTCTCTCTCTTTCCTTTATTTTCCCTTCTTTACCCTTCTGTGTTTGTGTACAGTGGACTTTGAGCCCGATCTCCGTATGGGATTTGCTTTCTCCATACATTTGCCGTGGCATACCTGTGCAACCGTTCTTTTGGGCTGCGCCAGATCAGGTTGCGGTGAGACGAGCTGCAAGCAACGATCACTTCACTTTAACAGCAATACGGATACTTCACCAACTCACGAAAGACCCAGCTCCTTGTCAAGCCAGAGCTGGATCAGAAAGTACGGCCAGTAAGATGTTTATGCAAATCATTTATAATACGAACTTAGAAGTTGCGACTTCGGCGGTAATAGTCATGAAGTTGATTGTTCCAACTAGGAACACACGCTTCTTGCCGAACTTGACACTTGACTGACTCACGACTGCCATCCGGAGCACACGAGGAGCAAGTCGCACCTTCCACTCGGCAAACCTGCAAGAAAGCACCACTCCCTGCTCAATACACGGTGTTTCGGGGAATTCACCCCTCATCAGTTGAGCTTGAGTAGGCTGAGGAAGATTGTGCCTGAAAAGCAACACTTATAATACTGCTCTCCAGGCCAAACCATCACCAGGGATACAAACTTACAGAGACGCTTTGTTTCCAGCGCGACAAACACCTGGAGCTTCACGAGGTGTTTGTCGCGCTGGAAACAAAGCGTCTCTGTAAGTTTGTATCCCTGGTGATGGTTTGGCCTGGAGAGCAGTATTATAAGTGTTGCTTTTCAGGCACAATCTTCCTCAGCCTACTCAAGCTCAACTGATGAGGGGTGAATTCCCCGAAACACCGTGTATTGAGCAGGGAGTGGTGCTTTCTTGCAGGTTTGCCGAGTGGAAGGTGCGACTTGCTCCTCGTGTGCTCCGGATGGCAGTCGTGAGTCAGTCAAGTGTCAAGTTCGGCAAGAAGCGTGTGTTCCTAGTTGGAACAATCAACTTCATTTATAATAATTATTATTATAATGACTGTTCTCGGAGCTAGTACATGTAGCAGTGGTGAAGCTTGCTGCTAGGCACTGGCGGATTATGCCGGCATAATTATTGGCATAATTTGGTGGTTGAAAATTTGGAGCATAATTTGGCATCTTTTCGGAGGTAGGAGCATAACCACATGTACATGATTGTACAACAGTTCTAGTATGTAGGCTACACAATTGTGTACAATACACCTGATCAGTGCTGGTGGTCTGCATGGTAAAGGGTTCGGAGGTCATGCAAATAGTGTTTTCAACGATTAGAAGGGTAGAAATCATGGCAATACATTATTGTATGCTCGAACCCGTCTTCTCCAAAGTTCTTTCCCACACTGATACAGTACATGTAGCAGAAGAT